ATATTTTAAGAGAACTTTTTTTTGTTTAAAATTATTTGACATTTTCAATTTTCCATGTAAATTTTATTAATAATTAATGTTAGGTGATCAATGATATTATAGTTTCTATTTTATTATTGGTTAAGTTATGGTTAGATAAATAATTAATGAATGTTTATGTAAATGAAAACAAATTAAATGTTTCTTAATCTAATTGCATAATCCTAAAACCAAAACAGAAGGAGTTTTTAAGTTGTTGTGATCCCCGTGATGGATCGATGAATCTAGATAAACAAAGCTCGCTTCAAATTTAAGATATTTAAAGAATACTAGCTGTGCAATTTTTGTTTACACCTTTCTAAACAGATGGTTCGAATAATATTTTTGGTTGGCACCAATTTGATTAACAGCACCGGTACGTTTTTGTTTTTTTCGGTAGTTATACATTATCTAAACTTTTCTAAGTTGGCTATAGCGGTCTACCTCTGGGTGTAAATTAGCTAGATATATTAGGTTTCTTTGTCATTTTCTTATATATTCGCTGAACGTTCTTTTTACAACATACAAGATTATACAATATGATCAGTAACACAAAACCTATATAGACACACTTTCATTGCAACATGGTTTTCACAATATGCAAAAAATTGCACTATGGGGAAATCAAACTGAGAGCTTATCTAGATGCACTAGTCCCTGATTAAAGACTTATAGTTACGTATGTCATGCATCCGTCATGCCAGAACAAACAAGGAGACAGTGATAGTAATAGAATAGAACAAGGGTTTGACTATTCCATATACAAAAATGGGTATGTTTATGACATTATGTGAATGTGTAAAAAGCAAAATAAGACGGGGAAGAATAGTCAGACATGAGGAAGGTGAGATGGGAAATTAAAGAGTACAGCGGGGTAAATAAATGAAATCCATACAACAACTTGGCTATTTCAGATTCAGACACAAGACTTCTCCTCATAAACATTGATAGAGTGATGGAGAGAGGCTTTGTCTCTTTTGTTGTTCCTACTATTTAAAGTCAACCAAGTCTCCTCTTGGTCCCATAACTTCTCAATGTTTTGGAAATTTGGCAAATAAAATAGTTATAAAATATTTCTCATATATGAGTTCAAAGATTCTTCTGTGAAAATAAATATTTCAAGTGATAATATTTTGGCAATATTGATGATTTTTCAAACGATTGTTCGGAAACGCAATACCAATAGAACCAGACCAGTATACATCCTTCAGTCGGCTATTACCTACCGTTTTCTACTCATGTTACACATCTCCAACAAGTTGCCTCCAATATAATCCAATTTTGTTTGTCTTCTATTTTATCTTTTATTTTGCCTACCTGCCATTATGTTTCCCTTATTTAATTCGTCTATTAGCCAAACTTATATGTTTGATATTCAACCTGTTATGAGTATCAAAAATTTGTTTAGTTGTCCCCTATCTAAATAATCATCAAATTTATATTTATTTGCATGTAACAATAGTTAATCACTATATTTTGTGCAGAATTGACATGCCTTATTAATGTTGAGCTAAAAAGTTAGAGGTAGAATGAACAAACATAATCCTGGTTTAGAGTTGGATATCTCTGTAACAGCTATTTTTGTTTGCTATTCATTCTGATTCGATCTTAAAATTTGATAACAGTAAGGTTGTGAAGTTTTTTACCAATATACGTAGAGATATAAAATTACAAATTGGTAAACATATTAAGCATGAATATTCACTATGCTTTCGATATAATACATATATTTAATATTAAGTAAAACAAAATTTTGTGGAAATTATTTTGAAGGTATTATTAAGTGGCATACGGGAATCTAAGACAAGGAGTTGAAGTAGAAGAAAAGAACAAGAGGAAAACAACAGAAGATACAACTCAAGTCCAAGAGATGCGTCAACATAGAACTAAAGACATCAAATATTAAACGCGAATCAATACAAATTCAACACCAATTATTTTGGCCACAACCTAAATGGCTAGATATAATAAATAGATAGGTATTTTTGGAATTAATGGAACGCTATAAGCCTTCCATCTCACTTTTGAATTTTTCTATAACTAACTCTATTATCTGTCTTTTGTATTAATACTATGATTTTGTGAGAGGTTTATGTTGTTTATGTGGACTGCATCAGTTACAAATTTTAAATGGTGATACTAATTATTGCTAAATTATGTGGTGATAATTTTTTTGTTTTATTACTGTGATTCGTCTTGTGTTTTTAAATGTGGACTGCATCAGTTAAATGTGGTTAGTGAGTTTATTTGTAGTAAATATATCAAAATTCAGGTATTTAGCACCTTTTTTATTCGCAAAAGACCTTTTTCTTAAATGAGCTTATGTTAGTGTTGTAAGATGTAATCTAGAGAATATCTGATCGAATTGTGAACTGAGAAAAGAACACTAACATAAGCTCATTTAAGAAAAAAGCAATTGAGCATTGTATTGTGAGATTGTTATTTACAGAGGTCAACGGGTCAATAACATCCTTCTTTACCTTTTTGACAATTATGCACGCTATCTCTCTCTCTCTAAATTAACCGTGATGTTTGTTTTTCTAACACAAACGTGAAGCTAAGCAAAACATAGATATTTGATTAAACTCATTCAACGAGATCACGGTAGTGCAGAGTGACGTGTTAAGTAGTTGTGCGACGATGATATTTGAAACATCGTGATCCATTTCTTAGGTTAAATTTTCCATGTCAACGACTTTATAGTTTGTTTTATAAACTTCCAGTTATTTAATTATTTTATAAAGTGCCAAATATTGCTTTTAAAGAGAAACAGTGAACATTAAATATTTCTATTCAACTATATATATTGGAAAAATTGCAGTGGGGAACTTAATGTAACCTAGTATTGAGCAAGAACAATTACATATATAATTGTTTGAATATTCAAATATGACTTTAAAATACTAGCCAGCATTCCTTTTACATTTTAATGATCTTTCTCCCGTGATTAATATGTTGATTACTCTCATGGAATAATGTTAAAAAGTTGAATTTAAAGTAAAAATTAATCAAAATACTCATTGCCTACTCATAGAGCATCATGATGAGCGAAACCACAATTTTTTGGGGGTAGCTAACAACATATAAGCTTCTTCTTGGGGTCCAAATTTCTGATTCTATACTTTAGGGTGGGGAGGGGGGAGGATTTTATTTGTATTATTATTATTTTTTTTAATTTAGAAGTGGTTAATCGGCACTTCATACTTTTATCATTGCCATGTCCAGGAAACTCAAATGAAGTGCATTGATCTAGTGTCCAATTTGTTTTGCGGGAGACATTTACTTGGTTTTCTTTCATTTAGTAGATGTAATTTTTGCTCATGGCTAATAAAGAATTAAAAACAGTTTCTACCAATATGGTTATGCCGACTGTTTTGAACGTTGTTACTATGGTCAAATGACATGGGAATTGGTGCTCTGACTAAACAATGTTGCATGACTGCAATTTATATAAACTTTATGCATAGTAATAACTTGTGATAAATTAGCTCCTGGAGGGGTTGAAAAAGACAGCGTTAAGAGTTTGTCAAACAAGTGATCAAAATCTACAAACATGAGTGCCGAGGTAGTCTACTTGTGACTAGTTCGCAGACAACTAGAATCCAAGAGTTCAAAATTAAATGCTTTGAGCAATTTTGTTTGTTTTTTGCAAGTCGCGGGTCCGGTTGAAGTAGAGAAAATTTATGGAGTTCTCGGTTCGAAGGAAAGGTAGAATTTGGAAAAGTAAGTAAAATCAAAGCGATTAACCAGTGAGATAATTAATTCCAAGGAGACCATAAAGTTGCCAGGTTGAATCCTAGTGAGATCAAATACCAAGGCCATTGGTGAAATCTGCCTTGAATACGTGAACCACGACGCATTATTTCCCTTAAACTTCTGATTTTTAGGTCCAAAGTTGGCATGCATGTATTATGTATATACCGTTTACCTGGTTAAACTAAAGTATTTGTTTTTGGCACATCGTTAAACTTTAGACATTTTTACTCGTATTCGATATAGTTCAGTATTGTTTGTGTCATTGTGTAGAATAAGATGTTTGTGAACCTTTAATTGTTTACCAAGCGAAATATATTATGTTGACCGGGTGATTGTGGTCGAATGGTAAGGAAACGGGACTCAGACAACATGTTTCAGGTTCGATCCACCGCTGCGCGAAACTAAGTCACAATTATCCTGGTCACCTAACACGGATATGAGCCTATGCTTTAGGGTCCATTTGAATACCCGAGAGAATATCTATCCGTGGGCTGCACATCCCTTTGGGAATTAGTTTGGACTTCTCCATGGACTTATGATATCCCAGATTAATCAAAAAAAAAGAAAAATATATTTTATTTAGTTATACCTTGTTTTTGGTCAAAATAAATATATTTTACTATATTCATACAAAGAAGTCATATAGTCAATTCTTTATTTTTCGGATTTTTAATATTTAGTCGATTTTAAAATTCCTTTCTCAAAAAATCTAATTTGTAATTCAAAATTAATTAATTAACTACCATTTTAGTTCTAAAGTCTCCTCTAATTAATTATTCGTAGTCAAACTTAACTTAATTGGTTTAGTTTCATTGTACCCAATGGAATATCATTTCCAAGAAAATGTAGTCAAGTAAAATGTATTGAGATTACTAAATTTCGGAACTTTTTCTTATTCAAAAGGAAAAAAATAGAAGTGTCAAAGACGTCAAAGTCACCCCGATACAAGAAGAAGGAGAAACCAATTAAATTCCGTAAGAAAACAGAAAACAAAACAGGAATTAAAGACACGTGGTCTGACCTTACCATTACACTCATGCTAAATTAATTTTCTTACTTACTCTCTAGTCCGAAAAATAATCATCTCCAAGTTCTTCTTCCCATTTCACTATAAATACAACACCATCCTCTCTTCTCCTCCATCACCCAAAAAAAAAAACAGACAGAAAAAAAACCAAAAAAAAAAAAGAAAAAGAAAAAATAAACAAATTTTCTTTTATCTTTTTTTGTTTTCCTGTATAACATTTACAACTTTCTCTATTCTTGTTTTGTATGATAATGGGAGCTCAAGACACTGCAGCTCTAGAAACACAGTCCACAGAGGAAAACACCAACCAGCCATCTCCTCTCCGTAAAATCATCTCCGTCGCTTCCATCGCCGCCGGTATACAGTTCGGGTGGGCCCTACAGCTCTCTCTCCTCACTCCTTACGTACAACTTCTCGGTATCCCTCACAAATGGTCCTCTCTCATCTGGCTATGCGGTCCCATCTCCGGCATGATCGTTCAACCCATCGTAGGCTTCTACAGCGACAGATGCACGTCAAGATTCGGTCGCCGACGTCCTTTCATCGCCTCCGGAGCCGCCTTGGTCGCCGTGGCCGTGTTCTTGATCGGTTACGCTGCTGACATCGGTTATAAATGGGGAGACAAGCTCGAGAAAACGCCGAGGGTTCGAGCCATAGCGATCTTCGCTTTCGGGTTCTGGATCCTCGACGTGGCGAACAACACTCTCCAAGGCCCATGTCGCGCTTTCTTGGCCGACTTATCCGCGGGTGACGCTAAAAGAACGCGAGTCGCAAACGCGTTTTTCTCTTTCTTTATGGCGGTTGGAAACGTTTTGGGATACGCGGCTGGTTCTTACAAGAACCTACACAAAATGTTCCCGTTCGCGATGACAAACGCTTGCGATATATATTGCGCGAATCTCAAAAGCTGCTTCTTCTTGTCTATAACACTTCTTCTCATCGTCACCGTCACGTCTCTTTGGTACGTTAAAGATAAACAATGGTCTCCTCCACCGGTTAACCCTGGCGAGGTGAGGACTAAAGGAGTTCCTTTCGTTGGAGAAATATTTGGAGCATTTAAAGTCATGAAACGTCCCACGTGGATGCTTTTGATCGTAACGGCGCTTAACTGGATCGCATGGTTCCCGTTTCTTTTGTTCGATACTGATTGGATGGGACGTGAAGTGTACGGTGGGAGTTCAGAAGGAAACGATAGAATGAAGGAACTGTATAACTTAGGAGTACATTCTGGTGCGTTAGGACTTATGTTTAACTCTATTGTTCTTGGTTTCATGTCACTTGGTGTTGAGTGGATTGGTAAGAAAGTTGGTGGTGCTAAACGGCTTTGGGGAATTGTGAACTTTATTCTTGCTGTTGGTTTGGCCATGACGGTTCTTGTTACAAAGTTGGCGGCGGATTATCGGAAAACCGCCGGTCCTTATGCTGGACCGTCTCCTGGTATTAGAGCTGGAGCGTTGAGTCTCTTTGCTGTTCTTGGTATACCATTGGCTGTAAGTGTTTCATTGTGTTTTAATATTTTTTAATATTTCTGTCTATGTATATGATATTTAAACAATTTTTTTTTACAGATTACTTTCAGTATTCCATTTGCACTGGCCTCCATATTTTCAAGCAGCTCCGGCGCCGGCCAAGGTATTTTTTTAATTAAATTTACGGAATGTATAAAAACTCCCATTTAGTTTAGAATCTAATTGTCTGATGTACAATGTATGACTAGTTAAATTAGCATTTAATAAATTCAAACGTTTGAATTGAATACATTAATTGAGAGATTTGTTTCCAACTTTAATCATATCTAACTGAAAATATATATTTTTTCCTTTTTTTGCCAAGAAAATTAGGGAGTAAAATTTTCAAATGTAGCTTTTCAAAACTGCTTCAAATATATATTAATATACACTAAATATCTCTATAAAATAATAAAAAATTATAGTACCAAATTAAGTTTTTGGTTAGTATATCGATAAATTAATATCTCTATAAATTAATCAAAAAATAAAATTTTCGTGTAATACTAACATTTTTAATTTATAGAGGTTTCACTGTACAAATTTATTCTTATACTATCATTTAATTGGATTTATTAGCTTAGTGAATTTACCTGATACACTTGAAACAAAAAGTTTCATCATGTCTAACATAAATAATTAAGATCTGTTTGTTTTTTTTTTGTTTTTTTTTACAGGACTTTCTTTAGGAGTTTTAAATTTGGCGATTGTGATACCACAAATGATAGTATCACTAGGAGGAGGACCTTTCGACGCCCTCTTTGGTGGTGGAAACCTACCGGCATTTGTAGTGGGAGCAATCGCAGCGGCGATCAGTGGAGTATTAGCGTTAACCGTTTTACCTTCACCGCCACCGGACGCACCTGCCTTGAAGCCAGGAGCCATGGGATTCCATTAGTTTTACTTTTATGTTTTAATTTTTCTTTATACATCTCCATCAAAGACAGTACTATACTTCAAAACTGCAAAACCCAAAAACCTTTAAAAAAACGCATAAAGTGTTCCAATAACCTTGGGTTGTCTGTATTTCACCACCTTCATCTAGTTGTTGTTCTTGTTACCGATTATCAATTTAAAATAGATTTTGTTTTTCTTTTAATGTTTGTTTGTTTGTTTGATCGGTTAGTAACTTGTGTCTACGACTATGGTAAACGAAAGATCAACTACAGAAAATAACTCTAGAATAAGAAATCAACCCTGAGAATTAATGTTGTGACGATACTTTAAACGTGAAGAAAAAGTTGGCATAGATGTTATGATTTTCGAAGCCCAAAAGATAATCAAACTTAGCCAGTGACCATATTAATTACTTCTGGTAATCTGAAACAAATAACTTTTTTTAATATGTTTGATTATATCGAGCTTATTTTTCTGAACACAACAAGTTGATACATTTCTATTCAAGAGCCAGAGCCCAGGAAAACAAACATATGTAACTGTTAACCTGAAATGCGAAACACTAAAACTGGGCCTTTAAGGCCTTGCTCAACATATGTATAACTTTAGGTGGGGAAATTTAGTGCGAGGCATTCGGTTTTCAAAGTTCTGGTTATTCAGGTTTCGGATTATTTAAAAGCCTTTAGATCAAGATTATTAGAGGTCCTTCCTCTAGGTTCCTTAATACACATATATATGTATGTATATATTATATAAGCGTATATAATTGTGGGTTAAGGACTTCACGGAAACCCAAATCGAAAGTTCCTTAATTAAGCTTTTTAATTATGTAATACTATTAAATTTACTAAACTTTTTAAATTTTTTTATAATATAGTTAAACTTGTATTACTATTTAATATTTTTTATAAAAATAAATATATTATTTTATTATTATGTGGTTTTATAATTAATACTTTATAAATTTAATATAATATAGTATTATATATAAAATAAATAAAAATATAATATTGTTACACCAAAAAAATGTATTAATTTTATTAACATAAAAGCACAAAAAATAATTATAATATGTATATGTGAGAAAATAATTATTTATCAATTAAAAATAATAAAAAAATTAAAATTCTTAAAACTGAAAATTGCAAATAATATGTAATAATATTTTTTGTGTAATGTTTGGTGTCATGGTTGGAGATTACCAAAAATATTTTACACCAAAACATCAAATTTGTTGTAATTTCAACACCAAATTTGGTGTGTCATGGTTGGAGATGCCCTTAGGAATGAATTATTTTTGGATAGGATAGGTTCAAATCGTCTCTTGCCTAATATATGTCGTTTCAAACTATTATAAACTTCTTAAATTCAAAAATTTATTTACGTAGATTATCAAAGAAAGGTAAAATAATTTTGTTTAAAAAAAACTATATACATATAAAAAAATTAAAACTATTCAATTAAAATACTAATATATGTACTATATTATAATTTATTTATAAACTTATAAAAGACATTTCTATTTTTTAAAAATTAATAATATAAATTTTATAAACATAATTTTTATATTTACTATGATAATATGATTTTAAATATTATAAAATATAAATATTTTTAATTTATTATTTAACTATTGATGTATTCGGTAGTTAATCGATTATAAATATTTTTTAAACGTTCCAATTTTAATCGATATACCAATCATATACATCCGACTAAGACCGTAACTATTCGCAACCAATACAGTTACACATGCATATCCTTTCTTAGTTTAATTTAAAAAGCACTCTATGAAATCTATAAAGTTATAAAATATGCAATGAGGTTTATGATCCAATTAGTTTAATAAAAACCAAATTAAAACCTAATTTACATGATAAAAAGACAAAAAAAAATAATATCACAGTAAACCATATTGTAATTTTTTTTTTTTTTTTTTGGAGTAAAAAACAAAAGAAGAAAGAGGGAATGGTGGCGCCGGGGAGTGACGGTGGTAGGGTCATCAGTAATTTACTTTCTCCAAAGCGTATCCTCTAACTTCGATCTACCAAGCAACCTCCTCTCTCAATCCCTTTTGGTTTACCCATAGCCTCTAAATTCTAACTTCGATCCGATCTCGCGGATTTAGGGTTTTTGAAGAAAGATTCGATCTTTGGGGATTTTGAAATCTGAGAGTAAAGAATGGCGGAATCAGGAGGTGGAGGAGGAGGAGGATGGCGTGATAGTTATAGAGGAATGTCATCTGATAACATCAAGGGTTTGGTGTTGGCTATCTCTTCTAGTTTGTTCATCGGAGCTAGCTTCATCGTCAAGAAGAAAGGTCTTAAGAAAGCTGCCACCACCGGCACTAGGGCAGGTATCTATCTCCCTCTCTGTGTCTTCGTTAGCAATGGTTTGATCAGTAAGAGACTACCCAACTCGTAAAAATATGATCTTTCTTCTAACCATAACTGTTGATTAGTCCTTGTGATGGAGGAACGTTAGCTTTAGGATGTGTATGTAGTATGTGTGATGTGTGAGGCACTTTGATAGATTCGGGTATGATGTTGGGATCTCTAACTCTATTGAAAGTTCTCAGCTTTATTTCATCTGTTGAGGTTTACTTAACAACCACATTGTACCATAACTGTTGATTAGCAGGAACGTTAGCTTTAGGATGATTGCTACAGTGTGTATGTAGTATGTGTGATGTGTGAGGCTCTTTGATAGATTCGGGAACGAAGCTAGGATCGCTAATTGTATTGAAAGGTCTCAGCTTTATTGTGGGTTATTTCATCTGTTGAGGTTTTACTTAACAACCACATTGTAGGTGTTGGTGGCTACTCTTATCTTTATGAGCCTCTTTGGTGGATCGGCATGACAACCAGTGAGTCCTCGTTGCCCTTTTACAATCTTTTTTTTCTTCAGTTGGTTCCTCATTGGTTTCTGTTACTTGCAGTGTTACTTGGTGAGATTGCCAACTTTGCTGCTTATGCATTTGCGCCGGCTATACTTGTCACTCCTCTAGGTGCACTCAGTATCATCATCAGGTTAGAGAGAATATATACTCATGTCTCTGACTCTTTTAATAAGCAATGCTTTCTCTTATTCCCTTTTTTTCTGTGGATATCAGTGCTGTCTTGGCTCATATTATATTACGGGAGAAACTACACATCTTTGGAATTCTAGGCTGTGCCTTGTGTGTTGTTGGTTCCACGACCATTGTACTACATGCTCCTCAAGAACAAGAAATTGTTTCCGTGCTTGAAGTTTGGAATCTTGCAACTGAACCTGGTGCGTTGTCTGAGCTACCTAATGATTCGTTTTTTCCCCTTACATTCAATTTTTCTAACGTTCGTCTAAGTTTTGTTGCAGCATTCATGTGCTATGCGAGTATTATCATCGGGGCTGCGGTTTTCCTTATTATCCGTATTGTGCCCCAATACGGGCAGACAAACGTAATGGTCTACATCGCTATTTGCTCGCTTGTGGGATCATTGTCGGTATGTTGTTTTTGTAGTTTGTAAATTATATCTTACTTCTTCTTTTTAAAAAGAACCACTGATCAAACATGTGAACAGGTGATGAGCGTAAAAGCACTTGGAATAGCACTAAAGCTGACATTCTCTGGAACAAATCAGCTGTTTTATCCTCAAACTTGGGTTTTCACCTTGGTCGTACTTACCTGCGTGATAACACAGTTGAACTACTTAAACAAGGTAAGTTAAATTTTAAATAGGTAACTAGATGTCTTCCTTGGTTACTAAACTATTTTGCATATTACTTGCAGGCTCTTGACACATTCAATACAGCTATAGTATCTCCTATATACTACGTAATGTTCACATCACTAACTATATTAGCCAGTGTTATCATGTTTAAGGTAACCTTCCGCCACAAAAAAAATGTATAAACCGTTACTTTGGGACATGAATCAAAATCACTTTTTTTTTGTGCTTTGTTGTTTTTGAACAGGATTGGGATAGGCAAAACGGTACTCAAATTGTCACAGAAATGTGTGGATTCGTTACAATACTTTCAGGCACTTTTCTTCTCCATAGAACAAAGGACATGGTTGAGGGTACACACTTTTATTTTATTTATGGCACTTACTATGCATCTGTGTTTGCAGCTGAAACTGATTGTTGTTGTTATGTTATTACAGGTTCATCAGTAATATTACCATTGCGGATAAGCAAGCATGCCAATGAGGATGGGTTTGAATCAGAAGGCATTCCACTTAGACGCCAAGAATCTCATATGTCAGCTTAAAAGCTGTTTATTGCTTTGTTTTCCGGTCTACTGCAGTCCAGAGAGCCTCAACATTTTTTTCGACTTGTCTTGATCTACATACCATGGTTCTTCGGTCCTATCAATCACAGATGGTTCAAGAAGATCAGGCAAGTAAAAATGGAGCAAAGTGGACGATCAGATCACCTTCTTCTCGGTAAATATGCTGTGAATTCAATCAAAACTTACGGCATTAGCATACACCCACGCATAAACCCTTTTAGTGACCTTTGAGAAGAATTTTTTTTTTTTTTAATTATAAAACAGAGATGGGTTTTGCTTAAAAGTGAAGGTTTTCAATTCAATATTTGAATCTTTGATTGTTTTTTTTTTTATAGTTCTGATTTCTCCCTTGGTTGGTTTAAAGTATTTGGAAGAAAAATGAAAATGGAGACTTTGAAAGTTAAAAAGATTAGTCAATTTGTTTGAAGAAATTCAAGTACATGGGTTCTGAAGTTTTGCAAAATCTCAGCTGCTCTATCATCTCCCATATTCTTGTTGAATGGACCATCATAGCCTATGATATCATTCACTATGTTACAAACTCAAGTTAGTTTTTTTACTTGCTTTGAGTATCATCAAGAAATACACAAAGACAGAGAGGCATTCACTTCTAACGAGAAATGAGCATCACACCTTTTCTCCTATATTCTCTCGCTTAAGATAAGCCATGTCCATAGTATGGCAATTGAACCCAAAGTTGAGTACATAACTCCATGCAACACGTGAACTCTAGGTGCATGAAAACTGAGATAGCATCGGACGGCCAAACTCCACTCAAAACTTTCACATGTCAGCAAACACCACAAAAGTTTTACATTTTTAATGTGTATTTATTCTTTACTTATAAAATTTTTAGTACTTATAATTAATTATTATTGAAGTTGAGGATTAATTAAAAAGTATACAAAAAATTTAAAGATTTATTTGAGAATCATTACGGGAGCAACCATCCCCAACACCTCCTCATTTTGAGGATCACCGACACTCAAATTTTTTTTTGTATATAAGACAAAGATTGGTTCGGTTGAAAGTTGTAAAACTCAAAACCCTAAATTCTAGTAAGAGAGAGCCCCCTCCCCCTCGTCTTCCTTAGGAGATACAAAACTTTTCTTCTTCCCTTGAGATCAAATTCCACAAGAGAAAACAATGATGACGTCTCATCTTCCAGCAGATTTAGAAGAAGAAATACTATCTAGGGTTCCAGCCACATCTCTGATGCGATGGAGATCTATTTGCAGACGATGGAACACTCTATTATTCGAAAACAAAAGATTCTCCGAGAAGCACCTCCGTAACGCTCCAAAGCAGTCTCTTGTTCTCATGTTGACAGAATATAGGCTTTTTTTTGTGAGCGTAGATCTGAAGTTTGTTCCTCCTTCAATAGAATTTAGTGACGCACTTAGCCTAATGAATTATAATATTTCAGAATATGCCCATATAATCACAGTTTCTCACTGCGATGGTTTGTTGTTATGCACCACCTTGGAGCTTGAACTCGTGGTTTGGAATCCTTGTACAGGGCAAACAAGGTGGATCAGAGACCACGATGGTGGCACGTGCTTCCTTGGAGAATCTATGTTTACGTTAGGATACGGAAACAACAACCAATCTTGCCGCCGCAGCTACAAGATTTTGAAGTTTCCCCGTATAAACTACTACGAGTACGACGTCAACGTCAGTTATGAAAGATTTAAAATCTATGATTTCAACTCTAATACGTGGAAATATCTTGATGCTCGTATTAATAATGCTCGTAACTGCATCAGTGACGAGTCTCATGGTGTGACTTTGAAAGGAAATGCTTACTGGATTTCTTCTGGTGATAACATAGAGGAAGGCGACTTACTCAGTTTTGATTTTGCGAACGAGAGATTTAGACGTTTTCGTTTTCCTACCACATTTCGGCATTGTCGTTATCGGGCTTTGTCAGTTGTTAGAGAAGAACTCTCAGTGTTACGTTGGATTGATTCAAATATGGAGATGTGGGTGACCAATAACATGGATGATACGTGTGATGAAGCAGAAGATTTGTCGTGGACCAAATCCTTTACAATGGACTTTGTTTTAAAGATTTATACGAGTGTTTTAATCGACCAAGATAATAAGAAAGTGGCCTTGTGTGATTCACCTCGTGAGGAAGTTGCATTCACTATTGGAGAGGAAGATGAATATTACTCACAAGTCGCTTTTGAAGGAGCGAGTTCTAGACATGAACATATTTTTCATTATGTTCCAAGTTTGGTTCAGTTCCCCCAGCAAAGTATTGAATCAGATGGTTTTGGTAAATGCCATTATAGAAGATGGAGGGGTTATAGGGTACGGCGTTGTAATGGAGGGTTGGACTATGACACCCGGTATTCAGATGATGACATGATGTTCGAATCAGATGATGACGAATGGGACTGGCGGGAGATAGAGTGCATTGATTTTAGCTATAGCAGTCGTCGTCGTCGTGGAAGCCGAGGTCGTGGTCGTGGGTGGAGGAAGACGAGTTTGAAGCTACGCTTAGCCTAAATGATTATAATAATTTAGAACATGCCGATATAGACATAGTTTTTCACTGTGATGGTTTGTTGTTATAATCTTTAGCACCAAGATTATAATCGTTAGGACAATTGGATCTTCTTCTTCTCCTCAGTAAATATGCCCATATGAATTTAATCAAAACATATGGCATTAGCACACACACACACATAAACCCCTTTGTGACCTTTAAGATCTTTTATATTATAGAACAGAGATGGTTTTGCTTAAAACCGAAGGTTTACAATTCAATATTTGAATCTTTTTTTTTTTTTATTTAGTTCTATTTTTCTTTTGGTTTGTTTAAACCATTTAGAAAAAAAATGTAAAATGGAGACTTTTTTTTTTTTTAAATAAAGTCATAAAACACATGATGGTTAGTCAATTTGTTTGAAGAATTAGTATATTTGATGAGGTGGAGTTATAGCATTGATGGTCACATATATAGACAACGGTTTATGTTCATCTTTCCACAATCAATCACTCCGCTGGTGGATGAGATGTCAACTTGAAAATGCGCTATGTCCCTCTCAATTAACTTATTCTTTATACATCTCATAACTTAGAGAGTCAATCACCAATTTAATTTAATTTTGGCTATATAATAAACAACATACAGTTTCCTAACTTTAATATAAAACTTAAAACCTTTCAACTTCGGCATTTACGTTAACTGCTATCCGATTTGAAAATCACAAATGAATACGTGTTCACCTATAAAGTATAAATAAACTACCTAAAATAGAAAATTGCAAATCTGACCGATTGTGATCAATTAATATTTTGAAGTAGTCCAGAAGAGTTAAATAAATTAATTTGTTACCAAACTAAAATAAACTCAACCCATATAAAAAGATCGCCATAATTACAGATTTTCGAATAAACCAAAATATTCCTCTTTAAAATAATAATCATTAGAGAGAAAAAAAGAAGAAGAGAAACTTGTTGAAGCAGTTGAACTAGAAAAAGAACAGAGCAACGAATCCAACATCACCAACAAACAAAACACACACAAACTGTGTCTGGTTATCTCTTTGGTCTTCTTCTTCTTCTTGATCCCAAAGAATGGCTCTGAGCAGTGTCTCTCCCGAAGAATTTAGCTTTCCTTTGCTCGCTTCTCAAGACTCTTCCCACTTCTCCGGCAGCGATTCACCTCCACTGTGGAAACACTCACCGGAGAATGATCACAACAGAGATTTGAGTAAGGATCAGACCAAGAGCTTCTCTTACGCGGAGAGGAAAAGTCTTTGGAGTGATAAAACAGAGGAGAGAATGGATATGTTGTGGGAAGTTCTCAACGAAGAACTCCCGCAGAGAAGTCAGAGCCTTAGGATCGATCACGGCGGAGAGAAGAAACCGTCTTTGTTTCCCGACGAGAGCTCTAACGCCACCGTGGAGTGCGGGATGAAGTTAACTAAGAAAGCGTCGCCGAAGAAGATGAGTACTAACGTTTTGGTGTTGATGAGGGTTTTGAAGAAGCTTCTTGTTATGCGGAGTTCATCTCGGAGATTGCCGGCGAAAACTCACCGTTATGTTTGAGGGGTGTTTTGGTGTAATTCATAAGTTACGGGGCTTTTATGGATTAAGAAGCTAAAAATTGTCTTTAAGAAGTTTGAATTTGTAGTTTGGGTGGATCACAGCAATTAACTTTAGGTCCTTGAATTTGAAGAACATATTTGGATTTTGAGAGTCTCCTTGTTCTTGGTTTCTTGTCTTTTACTTTTGCTTATTGCGTGGGGTTTGGTCTGAATATGCATTAATTTTATAAGGTGAAAAGCCTAAAAGGGTTAGATATTTTTATGTTTCAAACAAAGGAAAGTGAAAAGGTTCCCATGGAAAGTATTGTTAGCTAATCATTATCATTTTTACCGCCAGAAAACTTTCAAGTTATTCTATTTGAAACATTCCATTTCTGTTGATTTGATATTTGCCTTTTTTATGCAAAATTTGATCTATCACTAATAAATGTATGATCGTACTGGCTAAATACTTGTAAACTCTCTTATCAATGGAAGGATATATATATATATATATATATATATATATATATATATTGCTATACCATATCTAGGTTTATGTTGTCAACAAAAAAAAACTTAGGTTTCTTTGAACTTTTATTATGCATTTAAAATCAAAGTACATAGACAGATTCAAAACCTTTTTATACTCTGAAGTTGAACATGAATCTTCTTCCATTTTGGTGATGACCATGAAATAAAACTCAAAATTGAGATTGTTAGAAAATTATAAAAGCAAAAAGACTTCTAAAGAAGAAGACTTTGCAACCATTTTCTACAAGTCAAGAAATAGACCCGAACAATTCCTTTACCAACAACCTACTAGTCTACTATTCTATTGGCCAATGACCACTCCTAATCCCCACCCACCCGACCCGAATCTTCAAAACCAGGTCACGAATTCATTTTCGGTCAAGTCCTCCAATTCTTCAGAATTTATAGAAAAAAGTCCAAACTTTCGTATGTGGAGAAGTAATAGAAAAATCGTAGCTTTTTGCTGTTTGATCTCACTCTCTGCAACGCCTATTCTTAGGGTTCTCTCATTTGAACACTAACTTCAGGTATATACCTCAAAGATTCCATCTTCACTTGCTTAATCTCACTCTCCATCGTTCACCTCTGCGCAGAACCAAAACAGCTGATGGGTGTGATCGATCTTCATGGCTTTCCATCTTACCCCTGCGCAAACCTTCCAAAGTCTCGAGCTTTAAGACAAAACATCAGTAGGGTTTGTTGTGTCCAGAACTTAAAAACAGGAGACTCTTTCATCCGTCCACATTTGAGACAATTAGCTGCTTATCAGCCAATCTTACCCTTTGAGGTAACATTCACATTTTCTTCAGATGATTAGATTAGCTTTGATTCATGGTTTGTCTGTTTTGTAATTAGGTTCTGTCTGCTCAATTAGGAAGAAAACCTGAGGATATTGTTAAGTTAGATGCTAACGAGAACCCTTATGGTCCTCCTCCTGAGGCAAGTTATATCTTTCTCTTTACTCACATTACATGTTAATGATTTAAATTAAAAAAAAAGGATAATCCTTTTTAGTGTTTCAGAATGCTTTGGTGTAGGTTTTTGAAGCATTAGGCAATATGAAGTTCCCTTATGTCTATCCTGATCCTCAAAGTCGCAGACTTCGTGATGCACTTGCTCATGACTCTGGTCTTGAGTCTCAGTACATCCTTGTTGGTTGTGGCGCTGACGAACTTATCGATTTGATCATGAGGTTTTCTGCCTTTTAGTAAATAAATGTGAGTTTAGTTCCTTTACTATTTTACTGACTAAAGTGTGTGTGTGTGTGTGTTTGCAGATGTGTGTTGGATCCTGGTGAGAAGATCATAGACTGTCCTCCTACTTTCTCAATGTATGTGTTTGATGCTGCTGTGAATGGAGCTGGTGTCATCAAAGGTGAAACATCATTTCACTATCTATTCATATGGTCTTCACTCTTAGGACATGTTTCGTTTTTGTTTTGCTCTCACAGTTCCAAGGAACTCTGACTTCAGCTTAAACGTAGACCGCATAGCTGAAGTTGTGGAACTAGAGAAACCCAAATGCATATTCTTAACTTCTCCCAACAATCCAGATGGGAGGTATAAACACAAAAAGAGAAGATCATTTGTTTAAGTCATTCATAATTAAATTCTAGTTCTGTTTTTGTTACAGTATCATCAGCGAGGAGGATCTGTTAAAGATTCTAGACATGCCTATACTTGTTGTTCTTGATGAAGCTTACATTGAGTTCTCAGGGGTTAAATCAAGGATGAAATGGGTGAAGAAGTATGAAAACCTTATCGTTCTCCGCACTTTCAGCAAGCGAGCTGGTAAAAATGAAACTATATACTATAAACATAAAAGTGTCTGCATATAAGAGAGTACTTATGACATCTTCAGGTTTGGCTGGGCTTAGAGTTGGATACGGAGCGTTTCCATTGAGTATAATTGAGTACATGTGGAGAGCAAAGCAGCCTTATAACGTCTCTGTTGCAGGAGAAGTAGCTGCATTAGCAGCACTTTCAAACGGGCAATACTTAGAAGATGTGAGAGATGCTTTAGTACGCGAAAGAGAAAGACTTTTTAAGCTTTTGAAAGATGTTCCTTTCTTGGATCCATACCCGAGCCATTCGAACTTCATTCTCTGTGAGGTTACATGTGGAAAGGATGCAAAGAGGCTGAAAGAGGATTTGGCTAAAATGGGTGTGATGGTTCGTCATTACAACAGTAAAGAGCTTAAAGGTTTTGTTAGAGTTTCTGCTGGGAAGCCTGAACATACTGATGCTCTCATGGTTTGTCTTAAGCAGTTTTATTGACTTGCTGAGTTAACTTATTGAAGCTTCTCCTCTGTTATTGTTTGTTTTCATTATGTTGGATTCAATGTTTCTTACTTCCGTTAATAAGATGTTTGCAATAAGGGTAAAATCTATTGTAGCATTGTGATTTATGATTTGATAATGGGCCTAAGCAAGGCCCAACTATAGGACTCATTGATGGAGCCCATTGAAGGTGAGACATTTTCTTGACATGTTACATGTAGATCTAGTCACATGTGAGATGTGACTGATGACTAGGAGTTGGTTAATTGTGGTCTGGTCCGAATCAAATCCAAACTGTTTGTTTTTGGCATAAGCACATACTTCTTTATTAAGCCACAAACAAAATAGAAAGATGTTGATGATGAATGATATACCACCATTAGTTTCTTCGGCTAGAATTAATTCGATTATTTATTTATTTTGTTAAAAGGCTTTTATTGGATTAATTATTCTGTAATTTATCATAACATTTGTCTTCTTACACCTACTAGAGTATTTTGTATTAAAAATGTCCATTGATTAACCAATGCCATCAAACCATTTGTTAATAAAACGATAAGAAAAGTTCATTAATTTTTCTTAAAAAGTTTCTAAACTTTATATAATTAAGCTGTAAAGAAGCCTAAAGGAAAGACAAGAACACAAAAATAAAAAATGTAGGAATAAGTATGAAATAAGCAATAGGATCAAAGAGACAACTTGGGGGGTGTGGCCCGACATGCCATCATCAGGGCCTCTCTTGCTCCATTCTCACCTCTAGAAGTGTTTGCTTCTCTCATCATTAATTTTTTTTTTTTTTTCTCAGTTTTCTCGTCTTATTTATCAATTGTTATGGCTTCTGGATAATAGTTGGATAAATTTGAATTTCACTTATCCATTTGAGATATTTAAAATAGTTGGTTTTGGCTCTTAAAATGTACTATAATTTTAAAATCATATGTTGAGGTATAAAGATCACACTTGACTTTATACTTTAATCCTTCTTTTTGATTAATAAAATATGAATGATAAATATTTGGAAACTTTATAAATGGTTTTCAAGTAGCCAAGTTATTATTAAGCTTGTCTGAAACTATTAACTATAAACAAAAAAAATCCAGAACTTGTACGGTATAGGCAAAACTGATACAAACGAATAAAGAAAAAGAAAAAGAAGGATTTTGGAAGGTCTTACCTGGTTTTATGCTGTCGTTGATTTTACTCATAACATGATACAAAACAAATGATAAAAAAATAATGAGAAACGTTTGAAAATTTCCAAAAGTAGAATTCTTTAAATAATTAAAGTTAATAATTGTACTGTAATAGTGTAGAACTATTATTTGATGTATTGTAATAGAGACGTAATGTCACCAAATTAACACTAAAAATCCCAAGATTTATAAGCAGTCCCACTAAGCCGCCCCAAACAAACCATAGATATGCTAGCATGCTTTCTCTTCACTTCTGATCTCTATTCAAACACCAAAGGTGAAAATTGTGTTTACATGTTAGTAGCAAATATTCACATTAAAGATTATCCAAATTAAAAATGAAACGTTAATGGGAAATCTTGACTTAATGGTTACCAAATAGGATGTGGAATAGGGAGACAAGTAGAGGAGGCTGTAGGGGTCACTTGGAGAAATAGTGATCGATCTTCAATTCATCACCCACCGTCGTTCATCATTAATTGCGGCTAATTATAACTTTCATTAACTATTATTTATGCCAATTTAAATTGCTCCTTCAATCTTAATAAAGTAGATGACTGTTTTTTGTTTTCCATCTGAATTATCAATTTTGTTTGTCTTTAAATCCTTTCTTTCATTGTCATAAGCTTACTTGTTCGAACATTTACCAACTACAATAAGATTATTTGTCAGAAAATAAAATGAGGTAAATACATAGCTATGTGCTAAAAGAAATGGCGATGTGGTGGTTTAAGGAAGAGCATTTACAAGTATATTATTTTCTATTTTTAATTATATTTTGTAGTAAAAATTTATAATAATCTTATTTCTCAAAACAGTATAATCTCTTTCCATTGGAATCTGATAGACATGTAAACCCTTCAGTAAGCTAATAACTTATACATCATGAGTACGTATTAAAATCCACATTTTAAAATCTCTATTTCATTTTGAGGAGTAAACGTAGATGTTACTTTGAAATGTACTGTACATTAGTGTTCGCAGTTTGTTTATAGTGTTCAGATTTTTCTCATATATCAAGTAAATTTACTCTTCATACAAAAGAGAGAGTTTCCGAACATTCTCACATAAAGACAAATTCAAAATCAGTGCCTATGAAATAATTAAAATTCGACAATGATTAATATATATAGCCTTAGGAGTATCAGTAATAATGACTTTTCTATTTTTTAATTGCTATTGTTTCTCTAAGATCAGTTGGTAATAATTTGTTGGTGGATATGATATCTTTCAGGGTGCAAATATATTTCTGTGAAGTGATGGAAGAAAAGCATATAAAAGTATTTTGAGTGAATTGTATTTATTCACAGTGATTCATAACTCTAAGCATAACAGTTGTTAAAGTTAGTGAAATTATTTGTTTTGTTCAAGGTACAATTATGAAATGTAAACACATGACTCAAATTCTTATAGGTTAAGTGGTTAACCGTCAAAACAGAGAGAAAATATACATAGAAATAAAATGATATATTGGTGAGTTATCTATCATTCATTTATTAAGTTATCAAACAACAAAACAGAATAATTACTAAGTTTGTTTGCATGCAATATACCCGTATATATCTATAAGGACTGTTTATATGAATGATCATGTTCTTCGGTTACATATCTAATTAAGTGTTTACGATTTTATCTTCCATTCAGAATATATTTGGGTCACATCAGATTCAAGTGGACTGTCACAAAATAAGCTCTACAGTTTATTTTGAAATATCTATGTTTTGAAAAATTTGAACTTCTTGCCTATGTATTATAATATACCTAAATAAGTGATGTAACCACAAACATGTATAAGGAACGATGTTTTTCATTTACACAAAATAGCCTCATATGTATAATTTGAACTACATATATTATATTTTGACCAAACAAAAAAAGAACTACATATATTATATAAGTGGTAACTTTTTTTTCACAAAGGATTGAAATTTCATTCACAGTGGTAACTTATGTCCTTTTATATACATATACATGTGGTCAATAAAATAAAGGTATAGGGGACTGTTTCTAGATACAGGTCGTTTTCAAAGTTTAGTTAGGATAGAATCTAAGACAAGATCCTAAGCTAACTCTTGCAGGCAAAGCAAATATATTTCTTTCTTTTTCAGGAAACTTTCTTCTTTATTTACTCTGTTTATCATACATATTACCAAATAATATCTTATTTTACATTTCAGTCAATCCCATGAAAATATATTTTAGGCATTGCTACATTGTTGATTCGTGCATAATACACATTCTCAAATATATCTCGATATTTAGGATTTGCTTATAGTTGTATTCAGGTGTTCTTAAAAGACATTTGTTTTTATTTGCAAATCTTTATATAGTTAGTTTAATGATGTTCAAAAAATACGAGTTGCTAAGCTGATGTATTACCATTGTTGATTTTCTCGGATACAATATAATATAATGTGACTAATCTTCAAAGTGACCGATGGAAAGATGGTGTGCGGCCATAAATTTATAGTCCAGTATATTATCTGTTGGGAGTTTGATGAGCAGTCCAATAGAAATGGACTACAATATATAAATATAAAAGGTAAGTGAAAGGTCGGTAGATCACATCAGATTGCAATGATTTTATCAGATTAAGTTCATGATTTATATTTTTGATTGAGTTATGGACCCATTAAGACGAAATTTTCTCCTTAAACTTTCAAAATTAACTAACTAGAAAGCTATTTAAATGAATTCTTATGAAAACAATAAACAATATGGATTAATTTGTTTGCAAACTAAATCGACCTTTGTTTCAAATTTTACGTTCGAGCATCACAAACAACAAATTTTAATTTTGCATCACACATATATCGTGTCCAAAAAACATATTAGCCTGCATGGTTTGTTGTTATCAATTACTCAGAACTGAAAAGAAAGATAACAAATATTAATTGTGATATTTAAGATCATATATCATATTTGAAGCATTTGTTTTGTACTTAGTTGCATTTTCGTACAGAATGTAAAATTTATTTTGGTAAAAAACTTCTTTACAATAGATATGGTTGTAATCTGGTTTTACTTAATAATCTATTTTTGACTGGAAAAACAACAGAAAAGCCTTTTACTTTCTTAAAAGAAACCAAACTTCCATGGCTTTGTTAAACCATTGCCTTCCTCGTCCTTTGATCGAAGAAATTATGTTTCGCACCAGCTTGTCCATGAACTTTATAGGCTGTGTTGTAATCTGATGTGCTTCACCACCTCTCCTCCCATTTTTTCTGCCAAATTAACAATTAGTAGAAGTTTAATTATATCGTATTATCCGAGAATTCTCCATCTTTTTACACGAAGATACTGAAATAATTTTGTTTTCTATAAATAGATATTTTCTTCTATTTCGGTACTTGTAGTTTATACGCCGTAATTTAATACTTCTTCTGTTCCTTAAAGATACATATTCTAGAAAAAAAATTTGTTTCCAAAAGATCCATTTTTTACATTTTCAATGTATGTTTTATTAAATAGTTGTAAACTTCAAAAAACTTAATTGTACTAATTGATTTTTGATTGGTTTAAAATTATAGAAAAAAAATAAATACAAAAAACTATGCAAATTTATTGTGTTTTATTAAAAAGTGTAAAAAACTAGAATATGGATCTTTTATGAACATATGGAGTAGTAGTCTGTTATTTTTTTTTTTTAAAAAAAATATAAGTGCTAGTGTGTACTAGAATATTCAATGTGTCGACTAAAATATTAATTAGCATTTTGGAACTTTTGTCGATCAGAAACAGTTTAATTACTATGCATTCGGTCAAAATTCAAGCATTCTTAATAATTAACTACTTGATCAAACT